TGTCAGGCAGCACAAGCATAGCATTCTGAATAATCATAAACGTAGAATAAATTGTCACCGTAGCAAGCCCAACCCAAGTGCCCCGTTAGAAGTCTAATTGTGTGAGGTTTTTATGAATATTTGAAACTCGAACATTTTTATTGCCTTGACAACTTTTACTTGTTTACTTTCGCATATTTTTACTGCCTCGACCAAACTTTTCCGTTTCCTGCACTTTACAATTTTTTCTTGCCTCGACAATACTTTTTCGCCTGTTCATACACTTTTTTATTGTTTGCTTTTTAGACAAGAATCGTAGGACTAATAGTGACACCTAGTTCTAGCTGTTGCAAACATAAAAAATTCCCATCAATCTATGTGGATACGATAACTCACTTACTACTATATTACTTGCATCGATTGTTTATACTTGCACATAATTGCGTGCCACAACACATACATTTACACGCGATCAATTAACAGTAGGAAATGAGAAGATATTCACGGGAAAAAAAACTAGGAGTTAATCTCAACTATCTATTTTCACTCATCCAACGGTCCTCGATCTGTGTAAAACTAAAGAGTTTTGTATTGTATAAATGGATCATAATCCTAATCCATATATATATAACTTATGGATGAATTCTACCCTATCTTTTCGGCATGAAAAAACCCATAAAGATCACATATTTTATTTCAATAGCCTAGGATGATTACAAGATAATATCTTATTTGACAATCTAAAACCTTTAGGAATTAAGAATAACAACATTTTTATTTACTACCGACACCACTTGATGGGTTCTATAAACTTTATGTTATATATATATATATATATATATATATATATATATATATTATAAACTAATAATATATTATATGTATTAAACACCTAAAACCCCTAAAAATCTATCCACCGATTTTAATTATCAAAATTGAAAACCTCATCCTTTACCATTTTGATTCATCATTTAAAAACCACGAACTTCCATTATTGAACACTTGATTTTCTAGAGTGAGAAAGTTATAAATTATTCAAAAATTGATGGCGCGTGTCTAAACTAAAGTGAGATTTAGAAAGCTTGTGATCCAGACTTCCACATGGTATATTTCCTTTTGGAATCCAAGCTAAGTAAAGAAACTTGAACCCTATGTTCATTTATGATGCATGCGTTGGATAAATTGAGTTTGATTGGTGTTTATATACTTGTATTGATTATAAACTGTATGTTTCATCATTAAGAGCAAGTTAGAACTTTCAAGAAAAGAGAGAAACAAAAAATATCGAGTAAGTTGATAAATCTAAGACATAATGTAAGTTTTAATTAGGTGAACATTATCATGATTGAGTTTTTTGTGGTTTTGATATTTAATCATGGTTGTGTATAGTATTTATTGCATATTTTGTATAATTTAATTATCGAGTATGTTTATCAAACTTCGGTTATCATATAAGATTGATAAAGTATGTGTACGTTAAATCTCATGTGAGTTTGTTATGTTAAATGTGGATTTGATCATATTTATTGGTGATAACAATATGAAAAAAATATATATGATAAATAAATTGGTAAGTTCATAAATTGAGATGAAAATAGAAAGTATATTATGATCAATTTAATTAACATAAGGCATAATTGATATGTTACAGGGTCCATAGCATTTGTATTTTGGGTCTATATCTATTGGAGATATATATTGTGTTATTACAAAATTCGAGTTATGGTGAGACGAGATGATACACTATTTATTAGACTTTTATCACAAATCATCGTATTGAAACTTAAGCTAAACATGTTTATACGGTTGATTTATGATTAATGGATTTGATTACCATGTTCTTCTAAGTCTTTGTACGTAAAATATTATCTTAATATGCTTAAACATATTTTTATTATTCATTAAGTTATTTATCATCTTACTGAATTTCTCGCTCTATTAATTTTATTATGTTATAAGAATGTTAGATCGAATCGGTTGGGTATGCTAATGTCAAGTTATATATGACGGCAACATAGTATTAGGAGGCCATCGATTTAGAGGAGGATGCATCCCTTTAAGCCTGTCATTAGACCCAACAAAATATTCAACACCTATGGAGGCCAAAATTCACATAAATTCAATGGGTTCACTTCACTAACCCCAGACCCCATGTACAGTAAAAACTCATGCCTCTCACATATGAAAAAGTTACTGTGTTGGATCCACTTTAGCCACCCACTCCTTTCTCTATTATTGCACAATGCACACTATGTATACAGTAAATTTTAGGGTTAATTGTATAATACATTTATAAACTATGAGTGAAAATTTAAAATTGATATTTAAATTTTAAAATATTTACAGCAACCGGCCCATAGATTAAAGTTGCATAAGCCATTAAGAGAATATTGGTTAACAATTTTCTATGTTAATCCAAGATGAATGTGTATATATATAGAGCGTGTTATTGTTCGTCGTTTACTGATATAATATTTCTTTATTATAGGTCTGCTTCTACGTCTCGACGAATGGTTTAATCTTATTTTTAACACTTTTATTTTAAGTTTTAACTTTATTTTACAAATTTGAAATTGTCGGCATCTTTAATTACCAGTTACTTATATTAATAAAACGTATACCCATAGAAAAAAATATGAGATTAAGCACCGAACTTTGTGTGAAAAGGGATGCAATACTAAATAAAGAAAAACACCAAATCCACAAGCATTGGACAAGTAACCAATTTACAATTTTACTTTGGATATGAGGAAGAAACACACAATACCGTGAATTGCAATATTTGGACACAGTTTCTTTCCAAAATAATTCCATTATATCTTAATTTAGAAAGGATAAACAAAGCAACGACCAAATTTAGTCCAATACTTAACCCACAAGTTAAGGCTTTCAACTAACATTTTCTACCCTCACCCGACGTGTCATAATTCAGACAAATGGTGTTTATCCTCTTCACTTCCTTAAACGGTTAAACCCTAACCTATCGAATAGGGAATAGAACTCGTTGATAGAATAAAAACTTAATTGATATAAAATTAAAATCTAAGATTTATCATGTTAAATCATCAATAATAAAATATTATATGCAGAAGTGTATCTAAATTAATTGATAAATTCAAATTCTTAAGTCTTTCTTTGATTCTATGATAGAATAAGAGTAATACAAATTAATTTATTTATTGATGATCACTTACTCTTTATATATATTGAGTATTAGGTCGGTATTTTAAGTATTTATAATTTTATCATTCATCAAATTATAAATACAATTTATGATATATATATTATAATTCCACGACACTTTAAGATCATGTCACGTTTAACCTAATTTGTCACTTAATTTTTTATCATACTTTATGATAACATTATATATTATATATATGTGCTCATAATTATGAACTTTAATCCAACACTCGCACCCTAGTTTTCATTATAATTTATATGACTTGATTAAAGTTTTTTCATCTCGTCAAGTAAAGAATCTATCATTCAATCTGATTATTTTTTTCAAGTTTTATCAATAGGAAGACACGAAGAAGGATATTTGATGCTCGGTATGAAGATATGGATCATAATAATTTTTAATAATTTATTATATTCTTATTAATTTATTAATATTTTTTATAAAATTTATATTTTTTATAGTTTTATAACTCATATATTTATAATTTTAAAAATAATTTATATTTTAGAACATTTTATAAGTTTTATGGTTTTAACTGTTTTTAGTATTTTTTTTTATATTTTTATAATTTTATGTATTAATCAGCAAAGTCTTAGGAACTGAAATGATAAAAAGAAAATATTTTTTTATATTTTATGACGTGACATTTTTAAAATATATTACATGTTATTATTTTATTGATTTATTAATAATTTAGTGATAAAAATTAATCAATGATGATACATTGATAAAATAATTAATTATTTTTTAATTTAACGATAAAAACTTAATCGAATACAAATTTCTTTTAGAAGTCTAGTTGATTTTTAATTTTTTTATTCTTTTAAAAGTAATTGTTTTTGTGCCCTAAACCAATTATATGTAATGTAAATGTTCCAACCTAAACCTATCTATTTTATTGGCTAGTGTTAGGGCTAATTTAAATTGTTAAATTGTGTTTTTCTTAATCGAAGAAAACCGTTTATTAAAACTGGTATACAACAATCACATTCTTTTAACACGTATACAATAATCATTTGATCTAGCGACATACAACATTGTATTATAGATTTAAGTCTCAATGTTATGATTAAAACAAATTAAATTAAAAGAATCATTTTATAATTGGATTTTACAGTATTTAACTCAAATTAATCGATCTATCAATAATTACATTAGTTATATGTAATAGTAAAATTGGTTGCCCTTGTTATTAGCATCGGATCTAAAAAATAAGAGTATACAAATGAGAGAAAAAAATATTTATCGTTAGTATATAATAGTCAAAGTAACATTTTGCAAACACATCAAATTAATATATTACAATCGTTCTTGAAAGTAAAGAAATTTAACTATGTGTAATCAATCCTAAAATCATGATATCAGTTTCTTAAAAAATTTAAGAAAAAAACGAGTTGCTCGTAAGCTTGTAGAGTCAAATTGAATCTCACTCGACTTAATTTGTTAAAGTATCGAATCGAGTTCAACTCAGACATTAATCAAATTAAACTTTTTTTTGAATAATCTTAAATGATTACAAATTAATATATATTAATATTTTTTTAACCACAATTATCCAAATTTAAAATATCTAAAAAAACAACATTCTCGTGAAACAAAACAAACTTAAATTACTCACAAGATATTCAACTCAATTAATACTCCTAAACTTTTGACTTTCAACTCAATTAATGCTCCTAAACTCTACTAAACGCTTGTTAGTATATTCTTATTGGATTTTCTCTGAAAATATATTTTTTTTCAGCAACAAAATTCACATGTTAAATTTTCCTAAATTTCATACGCTTAAAATTTTTAATATATAAACGATTCCCCTACAAACAAAAGCAAAGGGCTCAGCAGCAATAGCAAAGAGCAGACCCGACCACTTTCTTCAGTTCTTTCTACCCCCCAAATTTCACTATTCCCAAATCCCCAAAATTGCCTTTTTAAATTCTCGAATTGCCAAGTAAACCTCAGTGTCTCATCTAACCCTAACGCTAACAGGCGCGACCCTCCCTGCATTTAAGCTTCAACCCACGCGGCGGCGCCACCCATGACCCGGTTCGTACCTTTGCCCTCTTGTTTTTCTGAATTCGAAACTTACCGGTTCCTCCAATTCCACCATTGCCTTTGGGTTTTACAGTGAAGAAAATGCCTCAATAGCCTTCCCAGAGGCCGAGGAGACCGCCGCATGGAGGCAAAATTTGCGTTGTGCAGTGAAGAAAGAAGAGAAAAATGGAGACATGCATAGTGACTTGTTGAATCTGAAAGCGGATTCAAAGGAAATTTTCAGAAAATTCAATGTTGAAACGGGAAATTTAAAGGGGTCGGCCGTTTTGTCAATTATTTTCGGGGACTGAGTGCTGCTTATACATGTGCTCAATATTAGATTTTTTTAATTAAAAATGTTTATATATATATATATGAGTTGAACGGGAAACGTTCAGTTGTAGCTTTATTTATTTTTTAACATTGGTGATGTTAACCAGTTTACACATACATGGAGAGTACCATTGTGGTCGTGGAAACTCAGAGTTGCAGTTCTAATCTTGTCCCCAAGTCTGGGGAATCACCAATAAAGATTGACTCAATATCTATAGATCTCGTCAACGCTAATGATGACATTGATGCTGGGCAGTGTGAGCATTTTTCCATTCGGTAAGCCATTATTCAGTGCACAGCTTCTCGGTAAACTTTTTGCTCGTTTTTATATAGATATAGCTCTTTTTAACAATAGTCCAGGACTTGCTATGTGTAATACATTAATATTTGTGTTGGAACTTTGTTAATTTCCTTTTGTTTTGAATGCAGTGGATACGCTTCTGAGATGCGCCACAAAAACTGGAGGAAATGCTGGCCATTTGCATTAGGTAGTGACCTGAGTATATCTGAAGAACAAGACTGTAAGCTTCCTCCTTTATTCGTCCCGAAGTTCAGATGGTGGTGCTGCCAAAACTGTCTGCATGAAATCGGGGCTGATGGCAATGTAATTGAAGAAAGAACTTTTGCTAATAATGGTAGCAAATTGAAAAACTTTGGCTCTTGTCCTCACCTGTCGTCATCCAATGGTGGTGCTACAATTCGGTTATCAGATTTGCAGCAGCCCGTAAAGATTGATGTTGTATCGGGAAAATCTGATGTTAGTGCTCGTGTGAATGTCAATAGCAGTGATAAAAGTGAGAAAGCAGCTAAAATTGCTAATATACCAATCATAGGTATATTTCTATCCTTGCTCAATTTGTTCTCATGTTTACTTTTACATTAGAGTATTAATTATATTTGGTGAATTTACAGGGAAAACAGATCTCTTAGAAAATGACATTAGCAAAGAAACCCATATTTCACAATATGATGGAATAGATGTTATTTCTAGTCTTATGAAGCGGACATTTCATATAGGTAATAAAGGTATGTCACTATGTCTACTATGTATACTATGAACAGATACTAATTAAAATGATAAATCTGTTTCATGCTTTGCAACTGAAAGTAGAACTGCAGTTGTTGCAATAACTTTGCTTCTTATTCTTGCAACAGTGGCTTCTCTGCAATTTGATAAACCCAGTATAAAGGATAATGAAATTGCTGGCGATACTGTTCCTGTGTCCAACCCCAGTTGCACTGTCAAGGATGCCACTGAAACACATAAAGCAGAAAATCATGCTTCTACTTTTGTTCAGCCGATGGAGTTAGTGAAAACTCGTGGTCCCTTTGGAGTAGTCAATATGGTTAATGGGGTTAGTACAGTTGAATACCCTTCATTGGAATTAGATGGTTGTGATTATGCATCATCTGAAAGTGCTGAGATATTGCTTGGAAGTTCATCTGGAAGAAGAAAGACCCGCAAGGTGCGGCTGCTGACAGAATTGTTGGGTAAAAATGAAGATGAAAAAAATGATCTTGCAAGTTCAGAAGATTCTCCTTCCACTGCCATTCCTGATGCACCTATGGGCATAGATTCAGTATCTGCTCCCCATGATCATGTCAGTTTCCAAGGAAATGTTGTTAGCAATTTGTCTCTTAGCAGGAAAAGGAAGTTGCCACAAGATGAAGAACGGAGGCTTGGGGAAATGAGCTCTGCAAATAGTGGGAATAAAAATCTTAGGAAATTCAACAGAAGTGCAGAAACTACTGATGAAATTCCAATTCCTGATTCAGATGGTACAGTTAATGGAAGTATCTCACGAACTGGTGCAAAGAGCCATTTAGTTAGCCTTAAGGTGGATAAAAGTCCTGCAGCAAAGATGAAAAACAAAAAGACCCAAAATTTTGATGAATATTTGTCTGTTGGTCTGTCTCGAGAAAAACTGCAGAAGGAGAGACAGAAAAAGGCTGGGGATACCACTAAGAGCGGTGCCACTGGCATTGTTCCGTACAAGTCAAATGATGCATCTAAAGACAGTGAGTTGGATCCCTTTTCTGAGTCTGCCCAAAAGACGGAGAAAAAATCTAATTTATTGAAGAAAAAGAGTAAGATCCATCAAAATCTTGATGGACATGCTTTTTCTATTCCTTGGAACAATGACTTGCTTAGAGAAGGTCTGATATCAAGGAAAGATGTAGAAATACAACAAACTGGGTCTGTTTATGTAGCCCAGGATGCATCAGCTGAAAGAGGAATGCAATTTTCACTTAATAATTTCTTGCCTGGCAAAACATATGATGGAAAATATATTACTCCAATCAGAGATGGGTTACCACCTCTATTGCCTTGGCAAGGGCGTGTTCACACTGAATATGAGATTGGGAGGAAAGATTTAAAGATGAATTCTGATGGGAACTCTGGTTTTCCTTTTAAATCTGAACTGGATGCCTATCTTTGGAAGAGAATGCATGCTGACCTCAACAGTAACCGAACTATACACAGAATACCATTCTTGAACGAGGAGCAAAAGCACCACTCTTGTGCTGAAGTTGGGAGCTGTTCTTTGGTTCAGCAAGTGGTATGAGCTTTTCTTTTGTTACTCTTGTTACCGGTTAGCATATAAAAAATGAACAAGTTATTTATGGCAGGACAATTTTGGTACCCCCACCCCAAAGTTTTGATTTTGGTCCTCTGCAACTAGGATAGTTTTGCTATACACAAAATATTCAAGTTATGATAACATTCAGTTTAAATTTTTGGAGCTTTCACATTAAGTTATTTACGCATTTGAGCCTTTGACATAGAAACATTCCCTTTTCCATGACCTTGAATTCGAAGATAAGCTATTAATCAAACAAGGTTATGACACTCATGGACTTGGGATTCTGCAGGAGGAGATATAAGAATCCCTTAAAAAGTTGACTCATTTTTGGAGAAAACAGGTCCACAAAAGTGAGAATCTACTGTACTTTCATACCTGTCTTCATCGAAAAGTGATGTATTTATCTTGTGCTTATTCCAACCTCAACTTTTCATTTTGGTTATACCATGGAATTTTATTCATAGTGCATTTACCATTTTGGTTCGGCTATAAGCTCATTCCATCTTATATATTATCTGCAATTGATTAACATAAGCAGTCATGTTCGTTTGACAATTTTAAATGGGTTAAACTTATACCTGGAAGAATATAGCAAACCTTTAGGACAGGTGTAACCCTATGTTTCCCTGTAATCGTTTTCCCTCTTTTAAACAGGATTTCAGTGGTAAAAGCAATAACGGGAAATCTGTGGAGCTTCTGGACCACTCAGCAATTGCTAGGAAGAATTATGGTCAACGAGCTGAAAGGGCATCTGGGCAAGGAGCTTCAGATTACATACCCATGGAGATTGTTGAACTCATGGCCAAGAATCAATATGAGAGGTGTCTTCTAGATAGAGAAATTGATAAACAGACATTGGAAACAACCAATGACACCAGAAGTCATCAGATCAGGGTGGATCTCAATAAAGTATATGGAAGTGAAGAGATGAGCCTGCTTCGTGAGGCCACTGAAAAACCTAAACCGCGGGCTAAAAACAGAAGAATTGGCAAAATTGCAAGAGATGATATGCAAAAATCAGTTGATATTTTCTCCAATCTGGATCAGAATCAGTACAATATGAGCCAATTGGAACAAAATTTTTCCGCTGCCAGCTTTAAGCCTTTTCCTCTATGTAGAGAGAAGCCATTGAATGGAGCCCAAATTTCTGCTGCCAATTCCAGCAGGCAAAACAGTGCTCAAAATTGGCAGTGGATTGGGAACATGGTTGGGCAGAGGTCCCCTCCAGCCAGTCTGCAGGCATTGGGAGTTTGTAACTCATGTCAGAGTGCTCCGCAACAGAATAAAGAAGCTGTTCATTTATGGCCGTCAACCATACCAAAAAACATGCCCCATCTATTTGGGATTCCTCAGAGGTGTAGAGATCAGGTGGCCGATGTTGATGTTCTTTCACATTGCCATAGAAATCTGCCTAAGAGAAATGCGAGTGGAAATGAAAATCGGAATTTCTTAAACCAGGCTTCAAATTTTGAAAAGCATGCTAGGAAGTTTGATTCGGAAGTCGTTAGGGCACATGCAGATTACCCATTTACTTGCAAACATAACGGGATGGGGTCAATCAATCTGTATTCTAATGAAACCATACCTGCCATGCATTTACTCAGCCTAATGGATGCAGGGTTACAGTCAGGTGTGCCGGTTGATGTGGATGGGAACCAAAGATTTGTTAAGAAAACTTCCTCTCATGGTCATCAGCACTCTAAAGTGTCTTCGAGCCTGCCTTCTCGGGGAGATAGGACCTATTCAATGAAACATCCAACCTATGATTGTTATGGAAAAATACATCTACCTGAGAGTTTCTGTGAATGTACGTCAGCTACACCTTCAGCCAGTCCTACATCATTTCAGGATGATAAAAGTTTCAAGAAGGCAAGCGATTTTACGGCTCAATTATCACTGAAGTCTAGAGAGAGAGAGAAGAAGAAGTGCTCAGATTCACAAAGGCAGAATAAAAATTGCAGATCACAAAAAAATGTATCTTCAAGTAGTGGCTTAAATACAACTTGTGGAATGTGTACTGTTCATAGTATGCCAAAAATGGTGCTTGGCACATCTGATTTTATGATGTTTCGGACACAGCTTCAAGCATTAGTGAGTGCAAACAAACAGAAGCAGGAGGCTCGAACAATGAGTGGTACTCTTTTCCATCCAAAAGGCGGTTCGGAGAATGAAATCTGCTCCATTAATAGAAACCCTGCTGATTTTACCGCTCCTAGAGCAGGAAATATATACATGATTAGAGGTGAGGACCTGAAATTTAGAAGGAGAACTACCTCATCTGGGATGGTAAAATTTACTGGGCGCAAGCGTCAGAAGAAGCCTACCGTTAGAGAAGAGCAGTCATGTCATCGAACTTCATGAGACAGTGATGATTGCATAAGCTGATAGCACCACAGAACCGCATTTGTCTTCATTTTCTGTTCATATGTATTAATTCCGTCCGTTGGGGAACTTGCATTCTTTCAATCAGCATTCAACTTGTGTAATTTTCGGCAGGCAAAATCCCATGCACCTTGATGCCTTGGTTAAGAAAAGCTTAAATGCTTTATGAAGCTTCAAGACATAAAACCGGTAATATTTCACAACACAAAGTTGCTATTTTTTATTGCTCTACATAGGCCATTCTACTTGCATTTCGAGCTTTGAGAACGTGAAAAGAATATGGTTGTTGATGATAAGGCCTGTAAAAGTTTTTGCATATGCCCCCCACCACTACCAACTGAATCTTTTAGAGGTTTGTAATACTGGTGTTGTTCTAGACAAAGGTTTGTGAAACCTAAATACTGCCCTTTCTAGTACTCAAAAGGGCATGTTTCTCACCCGTATAACTCTATATTCCTTTCTCTAGCAGCTAGTGGGAGTAGAAACAGAGAATGGACAATATAACGTGTTTTTAAGCATGATTTCAAATCATGGTTGCTAGTGCCGTATCGATATCGTATCTGTATCGGCTGGAACAAATTAAGATGGTTGTTATTGGTATGAATTAGATTTGGAACAATTATTCAGTTTCATAACGATATTGTATTGTTTTTGGGTTGATTTCTGTATTAATATATTTGGTCGTATTGATTAGGTATCATCTTGTTTTGGCTTTTGCAAGACCATTGTATTTGTCAACACCAAAAAAAAACCTTTTGTTTTCTCACATGTTTGATTTCGTTAATCAAAATTTATTTTATTTATTTTTCTCTTTTTTAAAAAAGAACTTGATTTAATTTAAATTGTCAAATTTGATTAAAATCGTTTGTTATGTTTTTGGAACTCTAGTTTTGTTTATTCGATATTTAAAAAATTTGGATTCTTTTAGAAGTATAATACAGTGATCGGATCAATAATTGAGACATGATTGACTCATCAAAACCTAAATATGATGGATTTAATTGAAGTAAAATACACAATGTTGATATATAACATATTGCTGCATACGGTGGAAGTATTATATCATTACACGTATGTATCACCTATGCTACTATTTGCATAACTGAATTGGAATTACCTGAAACTAATTCATTGGAAATGATTAAAAAATCATTACAAGAATAATGAATTTTTATAACCTTTAAATAAAAAATGAGAAAAAAAATACTTGGGTAAACAGTCGTTTACAATTTCATCTTCAATCATTTGTTAATTAAATTTATTAAATATTTATTTATCTAAATTGTTTTTGCTCATTCGCAATAAATAAAATGCATTACATTTATGAAAGTGTAATAAATACATATAAGATAATTATTTCACACACTAATAAAAATAAAATATTTTATAAACGACATTATATGATTGTCACGTGTTCTTATTTTTTTTAAATATATCAAAGACATGATAATTATTTAATCCTGTTTGAGAAATTAAAACAAAACACGATCAATGCATGTTATAATAATATTTTAATCATAGAAACTAAATTGTTAAAACATAGCAATAGAAAATAGAAATCAAGGAGGGAATGCTACAAAACTTAGAAGATTTACTACAAGTCGAGAAGTAAACCCTTCTAATAATCTTAATTCAAATCATTAAGCATCTGTGTCACCTAAGAAAGGAACTGTGTTACTACACAAATGTATCGCGAGGTAAAAAAACTTACTTTTACCTCCACTTGTCTTGTAGTTCTTTCCTCTCCGACAACCTCCACGTTACGATGATGGCTGCTACAAGCGCCACAATTGTAATGAGGAGCAAGGCGTAACTAAAATCTTCCGTTAGCGAATCGTATGTCCTTGAAGGTGCGAGCTGAGTGAAAAAGAGGTCCACTCCATGTGCGAAGACGAGGGTTGTCGATTCCAGCTTGGCTGGTACTGTTATTATACCTCGAAGACCTTCCACTCTAAGCGCGTGCGTAATGTAGGACTGGAAACAATTCATCAATAGCCATCGGTTAGAGAAACAGCGGGGTTAAATTCATAGAATGCTCATGGTTGGCAAGTTTCAGCATCTGTTAATGCCCTTAAGTGCGTACTAATCAAGCATCTCAAAACAATATCTCTCGAGAAGAGACGCGCCTGTGTGTGTATATATATATATTAAATGAAGAAGAAATAAGATGGTCTGGGAGGAAACAAACCTGAGGAATGATTGGCAACGAATCGGTTAATGGTATAATGCCTTCTTCTTTCTCTGCTTGTGTAGGATTAACCGATCGACGAGGATCCAAGAAACGTTTATCAAGTGCCAAAACCTGTAAAATAGGGTTATGGTCACGACGCAGACGTATCAACTCTAGTACTATTCGTTTAAAGGAAACATGAACAACCCAGAATCCAGCAGCGAAGACAACTCCGTGATTTAATTCTTTCTGAAAGTTTTTAATTTACCTGATCACCAATTGTACCGATGAGAAGCTGCTCGGAAGTTATACCCTTCGCTGTTGATGTCACAGCTATAGCTTTCACAGAATGGGTGAAAAAGTAGGACTGTGATTTTGTTATGACCTCTGGTCGAGAAAATAAAGATATCGGTGAAGTAAGGTTGTGCTTTCCAAAAACAAGCTTCCAAACATCTTTGTTGTCCTGTGGATGGCGTTTAGTTGGGAAAAGATAAATTTCATTGAAGTGGTAACATAATCAACCAAACATAAACAATCAAGTTCGTCCACTTACAGCCCGAGACTGGTCATAAATTTCAATGACTGACATCTCATATCTATGCGCTCTAAGATTGAAGTAGTGGTAGACAACCCAGTTCTCACTAAAAACCTACAATGAACAATAAGCATCATCAATTGCATCCTTCTCATACCATCTTACGACACCAATTCAGGAAAATAATTAACTTACAGCATGAACAGGGCCCCGTGCACCATGATGAGTCACCCGGTGCAATATACGACCCGTTACAGTGTCAATAAGATATGCAACCAGCCATGATTCTTCTGGTGTAACAGATCCAATTCCACCGCTGCATTTGGGTGCAACAGTTGCCACAAAAAGTATATTTCTTGATATATATTTATACATGACATCCTGGTCAGCTATAACCTTTGCTTGAGTATGTACCACCTGGAAAACTCAAATATACAAGCATGCATTATGTTTTATACGTGCAGCATTCCCAGCAAGGAACTGGTAGTTAAAAATTCTAAACACAGAAGAATATGCACATTTTGCTGCACAAGTCAATTAACCACATTTACCTGTCTTTGAAAAAATGAAACTAACCAATTGCATTAAAGCACAACAAAATCATATACTATTTATTTAGGGAAGTCAATGGGAACATGAGATTGAACTGACAAGTTTCATGCAATTGTCAAAAGTCTTCAGCTGAGAAGTACATGACCAAAAAATAACTCAAGAGAGCAGTCATTTAATGCAATAATGCTACACGATGCAAATCATGCAATTGAGTCCAGAAAACTCCTAAGATCACCATGCAGATTGGCAAATAAGTAGAAGTCATTGAGAAAACACCATGGGGGAGGGAGAAATGCTTTACCTCATTCAATTTTCTAGGGACAGTTGCAATGATCTTTTCTGATTCTGAGGGGAACACAACTGACCACAAGTCCCTTGTGTCAAAGCAGAACTCATCAACTACTTCACCAATGCACATGCACTTTAAAGCATGCCCCTTGATGATGCCATTGTGATCCTCCACTGAATACCAGTATATGTTTGAAAATTCATGTTTGAAGATACTAAGAGCCTCAGAAGTTTTGGGATATAAATGTGCATGTTTATCAGAATCGACCAGCAGATGGAGTCGCTGTTCTGTTGAATCTGTATATGGAAGTGGAATAACTTGCACAACAGCGTGAATGAGACTTAAAGAATTAAGCTCCTTTCCTGTGTAAGTGTCGACAAAAGAAAGTACACCTGGTGCATCTGAACTTGGACCACACCTGCTAATCACAAGAACAGATGGATTTTCATCCAGAGCATGATGATGAGGAACCTGCCACTGATACAAGTTTAATCCTATTGGAGATTGACATGCCTCTGACTTGTGTAGCAAGTGAGACCAGACAACGCGTCCATCTCCAGTATGCAGAGCAAAAAGTTTCCCTGCCCTCGTTAGTACTATGAGCAGCTTCCTGAAGCCATTGTGGTCTCGGGTCATTTTGCTCTTTTCAGAACTTTTTATTCTCATGCTTTGAATGGCTGCCACATCCTTAGGGCTTGCAAGCATTAGTGTTCCCTTCAGCTTCAGCATATGTCCCTTAAGAAAAAGGAGCGCATCTTGTCAAAATCATGTTGTCAAAATGCATCCCCTAGTCCATTTTCAAATAGTGTATAAAGTTATGTGTGCTTTGACAGTAGGTGATTCATGTTTGTAAAACTAAATACACACACACACATCCATATTCTTTCTAATTTTAGAATCACATGAAAGACTTCATTTGTTATATAATTCAACATGTATCAGAAACAAAACCAATAATTAAATATCTGTTAATCTCTTAAAACCAAGGAAAAGAGTTGGATCATGCAGTCTACAGTTGCCTTTAGTTGAAATGCAAACAAAAAATGCCTTAAAAGATTCATTACCATACCTTAAGCCATTCAAAGAGGTTGTGCTCCACTTTTGCGACAGATACACCATCCCTTTCCAAAGGTAGTTCTGAAGCTGTTACATCAATTATTGATGCCAGACCATCTTCCCTGCTCCAGACAACCGCACCTTGTTGTAATAACAACAGTGAATGATCTTCCATCACAATTAACAGCCGAAACCCATGAGACCTATCAGTTCGGATATAATTATTTATGAAAACCTTGTGGGGAATCCCTCTCTGTTGGTCCATTTTAATGCTTTCTTTAAGCAAATTATCATCCCAATCATGTGCAAGTTTCACTGCAAGATGAATCTCACTGCCTGCATGTTGAACCAATGCAAATGCTTGTTGGCCCTCAGAGATTGGGAGAGCATTACTAACAGCTGTTTCATGATTCGTTTTTTCCACCACTTCAAACTTGCCTTTACCTATCACTTTAATAAATATAGTAACTGAATTTGTTTTAATTACAAATATTCCTGGGACTGATAAAGGTATTATTACTGCCGGTCCTGATGAGTCCTCAACAAGATTTGAAATGGGTGTCTCTTGGAAACTAATTTCTCCATTTTGAAAACTTATTGCTAGCAAAATTGACCCTGTGGAATCAAGA